CGTAAAACTTAGAAGAGACATAATTTTTGTTTTATATTTTATTTGTTTAAATCATTTATAACAACATACAAATCATAAAAGTGGAGATTTTTTATCTGAAAAAAATCTAATCCCTCGTTTAATTAGTTGGAAGAAGAATGTACCGAAATTAAATGGCCTACGTCGTAAAGTGCCCTCCTAAAGACACGTCATTTTTAGTTTATTTGTTGAAGCATTGCTTAGTAATCAGACGGCCAACGATTGCCTGTAGCATTTTCAATTTAGTTTTGGCCGCTGTCAGTGCACTTGTCCGAGGCCCAACCTATTTCTCAAACATGAAAAATACTCTAATAACCCGTTGACTCAGAAAACCCGCTCAAAAGCTCCACACCTCAACACAAAATGGATCGTTGAAATTAATTTAGTATAGTTGCGATTGCAAAAAAGGGAATTAGTTTGCTGTACAGTGTACACTTTGTGGGCCGGATCGCTGGTGGTCGAAGCACAATTAGGCAACGATTTTTTAATTAATTTTTTTCTGCTTCTCTCTGTACGTCAGATGGACTTTACGCGAGCGCTGACATGAACTGACCCACAAAACAGAGATTCGCTGCATGTAAAGAAAGAAAGAAAAATGATTGGATGGAATAGCGTACGTTTCAGTGAACAACGCGATGCCACACAAGCAGCCCGCACCAACGAACCCAAAACCATTTAAATTTAATTCCATAAATAATTTAAAATGAAAATCGTAAGCTAAACAAACACAACGTAGCGCGTATTGGTTTCGGGGTCATAACCACTGCTACGTGCGCATGTAATCGATACGGCTTTGCTTCGTACCCGAAGTTCAAATGGTCAATCAAAATGTTGCGTCTTGAGCCACAGAAAAACCAGTATTGAAGATGTACACAACTGACCAATGCTTGCAATTGGACGTGTATAAACATATGAAGAGACGCTGGCCGCTGGCCACTGGATTGTTGAGAAAAATTGAATTTACGCAAGAGATGTTGATGTTGATGATGTATATGATCACTCCAAGAATTTACTAATCAGATATGGGAGTCATCTTGAATATTATTTGAAAAAATTGCAATTGCAATAAATGTTTGCAATATTTGGTTGCCCATTGAAAATGATAATTAAAATCTAATAATGGCACCAGTTTTTTGAAAAGATTCTAAAAAAATTGGATGATTACTTAACGAATGAGTAATGTAAACACATTTTTTTTTTCATTCGTATTTAGGTGAGATTGGATTTGGTAGAAAAATGATATATATCTACATATCTTGTGCATTTTTTGTTTTATTTGCACAAATCGTAATACAAGGCGCCAAACGATGCGTTCATTTCATTGTTCTACTTTTTTTGTTGAATTTGCAATGCTATTTTGGCTTTGTCAATTTGCAAATCCGAAATTTAGCTCATAAAACTGTTACAAGCCCACTGATTTGGCACACAGATGTGCATATAAATACGCATTGATTTTCTTACTCGTCAATCAAACGCAGTTAACTTCATAAGGTGCGCAAGAGTTTGTCGATAAGATTACCTTTAAAATGAAAGTACAATTGATTTTTCTGACAGTTATTATTCTGGTAAAATTTCCGTTCTTTCAATAATTCGAATTTTTCAAATTCGAATTTTATTGTTTCGTTTCATTTAAACGAGTTTATTTTCAGTCTATTGCGGATACTTTTGGAGACCCAGAGCCCGATGCTTCTGCTCAATCACCAATTAGCCAAGCATTAAGTTCCATGTTTGGAGGTTGGCAGACACGGGGCTCGCAATCAAGTACAAATAATGGCAAAATAATAGTCCGTAGATGCAGATGTAGACGAAGGAAACTGCCCAAGTGCAAGCCATCTGATTCATCAAATTCTTGGGGTTCATCAGGTTCACATGGTTCATCAGGTTCACATGGTTCATCAGG